GGAGAGGGGTGGGGTGTGAGGAGGAGGAGAGGGGTGGAGGTGTGTGGAGGAGGAGAGGGGTGGGTGTGTGTGTAAGGCCGTAACATGAACAAAAACAGGGCCAATAATACAAGTCGGAAGCAACAATAGCATAGAATGCAAGCCACAAATTTACCGAAGTGCAAGAAAACGGAGGGGGAAAGCCCAAAGCTATAGAAAATAAGGTGACAATTTATTTACCCAAGAATCACAAAGTTCTATCTGCTCAGGGCCTAATTTTGAGAAATTTGACGCTGAAAGTTTTGAGTTTCACAACACGTCAAGCTTTTTCACGTGCAGTTCTTAGAATATCATGATAACGGCTTCGAATTGTCTTACGATTTCAAAAGAGCTGATAGAACATTTGGTCTCTGACCTCTTGGTCTTAGTAACTCAAAACGGTCACAAAAGTCAGATAAAACTGTGTAGCTTTAGGGTAGACGGGTTAATAGTGATACGTATTGGTATAGGTTGTCAAAGATTTATATACGCTGGCACAGACTGACCAAGTATTGACCTATAAAAAAAGAGAGTTCAAAACTTAGGTAAATCTGTAAGACAAAAGATGAGCTCAAACCGGGCGATATTGGATGTGCTTTTATTTAAAACCAACATCAATGAAGGAAATGAAAAGAAATGAAATTAAAAGCAGGAAGGTGCGAAAGCACAGTTGTTCCCAATTTCCCAAAAGAGGAAAACATCCCCAGCAAAATGAAACAATAAACACAACAATAAGTGCAACAAAATAGTTGCCCCTACTCTCTTTTATGAAGAGGGAAAATAAGCACCAAAAAAAACAACAACAAAAAACAGCCACTTCCAAAACGCACCCGGACAGGCCGTATAAAGTATCAACAACCGACAAAGCAAAACGTATGGAAGAATAAATTATGTGAAGACTTTGTATATAGTCTTTAAAAAGCCATTGGATTCAAAACAGAGACCTCAAACAAAAGTCAAACGTTTGCGAAAGATGCTCCGTCTTGTATTGGATACATTCACGACATAAAACAACAACCGGAAGTCTCAGCTCTACGTCTTTGGAACAGACAGCGCCCCTTGTGTCGGGACAAGTCGTTCAAACAGCGGTACGTTCTAGATGTCTAGCTAGGTGCGCCGACGATTCTGTGGTGAGAGCATCGTTTCGGGCGGGGTTCGAACCGCCGACTACTTCTTCCCGGGCAGACTGGGGTTACTGCACTGGCAGGCATCACCACCCAGCTGCACGGAGCACAGGTAGTCGCAGATGTTGGTGGTCGCTTCCGGTGGGGAGCTGGGGAGGTCTGTGGTCACTGGTTTGACGCGGCGTGGGGTGATGGTGGTGGGGAAGGCGGTCGTCGAGAACTTCTCTGTTGAGATAGGTAAAATAATATATGCATGCTCAGGATTGACAATCGCTATTTAGAAATGATACCTTACTTTTAATATAATTAACGCATTTCCACAAAAGAACGTGCAATGCGTTTGACAATAGTATAAAGAACCTAATTCCAATAGTGACAATTTCACTATCCCCCTTTCTCTCCATATATCTCCCCCTTTCCGTCTCTCTGTCTCTACTTCTCTCTCTCTCTCTCTCTCTCTCTCTCTCTCTCTCTCTCTCTCTCTCTCTCTCTCTCTCTCTCTCTCTCTCTCCCCTCTCTCTCTCCATATCTCTCCCCCTTTCCCTCTCTCTCTCTCTCCTTCTCTCTCTCTCTCTCTCTCCCCCCCCCTCTCTCTCTCCCTCTTTCTTTTCCCATCCTCTCTCTCTATATAGTTTTACTGATATTACATGAATCAGAAAACTAATAAATATGTCTCAACAGTAAGATGCGATTTAACTGCCTTTTAAACATTGCCAAGAAATTCGAGTCTCTAATATATCAGGGTGAGTCATTTCACATCAGAGGGTCATAATACGAAAAAAAATCACTGTCCATAAAATTAAAGAGTAGTTCACTAATGGTTTGAGTAAAATTGAACGATCTCTGGACAGCCTAAGACTTCTTGCTGTTAACACTTTTGAAGAACGTTCCAGACCGAGGCGATTCTGATAATATTGTTTAAACATTTATAACAAAAGACAAAAACTTTAAACACAACACAGCTTTTCACTGGCAGCCAATGTAGCTTTTTCTTAAAAATAAGTTTGGAGTTGACTTAGTAGTTTATACGAATTGCGAGCAGGAAGAAAATTGAAATGATCTCATTTTGAATGAATAAGAGACAGTCAGGATCAAAGCTGGTGTCCTTGATAAATATTCCAAACTGTGTCGATGGGGCATGTACTGTTCACCTAGAAATACTTCCATCCCCTTCTCTATCGGAATTGGGTGCTGCATATTGGCGACCAGCAATGGCATTGTTATGAAATTATTCTGCCTTGGTGTAATATTGTGTATTTTGGTATGTAATGTGTGTGAAAATAGAGAAATGGTGTATTAACGCCCCTATCAAGACTATTACTATTAGGTTATATAAGAGGCGGGATCTCCGAATTAAAGTCCATCTCCAAAAGGATTACGGATCCGGTTGCCTAACCACGAGGACACCGACACCACATGTATGTATGTATGTATGTATGTATGTATGTATGTATGTATGTATGTATGTATGCCATTGTAACCTAAATTTCGCCTCGGGGATCAATTTTAAAAAAATGTAATTTTTATCTTTTGTCAAAAGGAAAACTCTTCCACTTGAGAAAATAAACCGATATCACCAAAGGGAAACTACTCACCCCATCCCAGACAGCGGCACATGTACTTGATGAGCTGGGTGGCCTCCCCTGTCTTGTCCTGGGCGACGTCACAGGCGCTGCGGCACAGGATGCCATGGCTGTTACTGTCGTCGCCATCGCCGTCATCGGCACGTGACCCAGGGGTCAAGGCCACAACCACCAGCAGCAGGAAGAGAGTCACTATGGCGCGCATTCTGAACAGGAAAAAAAAGAAATCACGTGTTATTGTAAACATTTTACGTGGCTGTTGAAAATATTTAAATCATTTTGGAGGCGGTTGTTTCTTCCCTGCTGTTAAAGAGATATACAATAATATTGTAATTGCAAACATCTAAAGTGGCCATTGATCAGATTTCATAATTTGGGAGGTAGGCTCCATGGACTTTGCCTGTCAGAGAGTATGGGAATTGTTACTGTAATATGTGGGCTCTCGTGGCCTACAAGTTAAGGTGTTCGAGTCTCGTTCAAAGGTCCCGGGTCCTAATCCGGGTAGCGACGGTAAATTTTTTTTATCTAAAATTGTATCCACTCAACTCCTTTCCTGCTCTCTAGCAATGTTCTGTCGTCTGCTTTCGTCTATACTTTCTGCCCTCACTTCCTTTGCCCCCTCCTCTGGGCTCCTGACTCTTTCTGCGGCTTTTCTACTGCTACTCCTGGGCTCCTTCTTACTGCTGTCTTTCACCCTCACCCCTAATCTACAGGTAGGAAAGATTTACACCCAGCCATCTCTGACAAGGGCAAAAAATCACGGAGGTCTCGTGTGCAAGTTGCACACGTTAAAGATCCCTTGCAGGTCTAAAATCGATAATAGTAGGCTTCGGCCGCCATCTGGGCAAAATTCAAAATTCCCTACAAACTGAAAATGTTTAATGTGTATAACCTTATACATAAATTTGTATCTTTATTGACTCACATTGCTTCGGCCCTGCTAGTCAGGCTCAAAAGCGGTGGAGCAGGATTGGAATCCCAGCAGACGGACAGGCAGAGATAGGCAATAAAAGACGTCCACTTACAGAAATCAAATCTACAACGTCTATGTGCGACAGCTAGGGGGCTTACCGCTACACCACCAATTCTAGGCGGGGCAGACACACCAGAGAAACAAACAGATACGATTAGATTTCTACACACTTTCCTGTTTTACTATACTGTAACGGTAGGTTAAAGAATGCATTTACAAATGTTTAACAAGTGGCAGAATTTTTTAACTGCTTGTTGGGACCTGCATATTGGAGTAAAAGTAAAACTAAGCTA